CTGACCTAAGCAGCCCTTTACCACCAAGGACTTCTTAATCCTACCTCTTCCTGGATGCTTCTAGGTTAGATTTAACCACCGCTTGCTGGTTGTGTTATACTACACTCCCTTATTTATGAAGGGATTGCACTGCCAGGAGCATTCTCAAATAGCTCTTAACTCCAGGGATTGCTACTGGCAGTCCAAGACATCCCTGACGCTCCAGCAGGTCACTGGACAAGGCACCTGCATTGGCCAGGCACCCCCAAGCCAAAGCCACCTCTGCAAACTTTTCATTTGGGGGTCAAATTATCTAGTTGTTTGACTGGTCGAATGGCTTGTGCCTATGAGAGTGTGCTCAGAAGAGCTCAAGGGTGTCCTAGGGCTGCTTCCCCAGCTGATCTATTATACCAATAACGAGTTTCTCCAGAGATTTACCTAACCCCTTTGAGCTCCCAAATGGGTAAGGCATGAGCCTGTAACTACCTTGACCCTTAGCCTTATACTTGATGATGGGATGGAAGCTGGCATAGGCACCGGCACCATGGCTCTTGTTCAGTAGGATCACCATTATTCTAAATTAAGGACTAGCTTAGATGCAGACCTCCGCAAGGTGGTAGATTCCATCACATATCTGGAGGACTCCCTCATCTCTCTAGTAGAGGTAATCCTCCAAAACTGACAAGGGCTTCATCTCCTATTTTTACAACACTGAGGTCTTTGTGCAATGCTTGGTGAAGAATGTTGTTTTTATAGGGACCACTCGGGAGTCATCAAAGACAATGTGGCTAAGATCAGAGAAGGGTTAGACAAACGAAGACAGGCGGGAGAGGCCAACCAGGGATGGTTAGAATCTTAGATCAATAGCTCTCCCTGGATGACCACCCTAATATCAGCCCTGATGGGTCCCCTCTTAATACTCTTTGATGTGGGACCAGGCAAAGAAAGCTAATGCCATTTTGGACTAGACACCATCTTGAGAGGCCCCTGACTGAATCCAGTTCCAGGAAAAATCACAAATGGCTAAGAGTTGTTTCAAAACTCCTCATCCCGAGTCAGCCAGTCATGAGACTTAACAGGTTATCATGGTCACCAGATGTTCTAGTGGAAATTCCTCACTGCTTGCTTAACCCCAGGGCCAATCGGCCAGAAAGTCACCTTGCTACTCCAATCAGAAAATGTCATGCGTGCATGTACAACCCCTCAGCTTACGGTTTTTCCCTTTCCCCTGCTGGTTCAGTACTGCGCCTCTCTGTCAGAGTGCTGTAGGGTGGTCCGAAATCGATTTTGCATTCAATAAACCCTTGTGTATTTGCATCGGTACCTGGTTCTATGGTGGTCGTGTTCATGGGTCCCACGTCCTGGGCATAACAACATCACCTTTATTGCATCTTCTTGCTTTGTTCTCTTTTTTAGTCTTTGATTTTGAGACAGCTCTCTACATCTGTAGCTAGCCTGGAACTCAGAGTCTCTTGATTCTGCTTCCCAAGTGCCTGGCCCCGTATCTTGTTTTCTTTTGGCTTGTGTGATTGGCTAATGTCTAGAAAGGAATTGTCTATTAAAAATGGTTAATTTTAGCAGGTTCTGTAATCTATATTAAATAAATTTAGGTTAAAAATTATGGTGGCTGTGGAGGGTATTTTTAGTGTAGGGAAGGAAGGTTTTTTTCAAGTTGAGAATCTACAAGCTGAACAAGTCATCCAGGTTGGAGTCACTGCCTTATCCTAACTGCATGTGTTTAGACTTTAGAGCAGAGTGTATGGGGATAGCATAGAACTTGCTTGTGTGTGATAGCAGATGATTTGGTCTAATATTCCACTGTATAGTGGAAAACTTGAAAAGGAGCACTGAGGATTGACTTGGCATTGATTACCTTTTAAACAGTTTTCAGAACTTAATTAGCTCTACTGATTTAATCAAAAGTGTCTTAAGTATCTGCCATGTCTAAGAAAGGAAATGGTCCTTTTGGGAAATGTGACCTAGTAAATACTTTGCTATTTAAAACTTAACATGAACCTCAGGGTTAGTGCAGTGTATTTAATAGAATGGTAGAGATCTTGGAATTGGGTTACTTTGATTAGAGAAACAGGAATCTAGAAAATGCCATCCTGTCCAGTGCTCAGAAATTACTTCCCATTGCTAGACGTACTGAAAGTTCTTTATCAAAAGAAAGTAAAGATACCAATTGGAGAGTTTATTATGTTACACTATTGAGCAAGCACCAGCAGTTCATATTCAATTGAATATTTGAGATAGAGGGAAATTGTGAGTGGCTAGTGCTCTAATTTTGAGTTGTGTATAGTAAGTTAGTGAAACGAGGTAGAACTAGAGGAACACTTTGTTCTTGTAGGATAGTTGGAACCAATCAAGTAAAATATATATAAAATGTAAAATAACTTTCTGAGCTACTCTCTAGACAAAGAAAATTACCAAGAACCTAATGTACTACAAAGTTACCTCTCTGACTCACAGTATCCAAGTGTTTCATAGTTGTCAGTTATTTTATTTCTAAATGGAGTAAGATGGGTTTTCTGTCTGTTTCTCTAACTTTGCTTCATTGAACATTGTTTCCTCTTGGCTTCTATGTTTTAGTTTCCAGTGGTTGTCCTAATCAATGTCTAAATAACAGAGAGAGAACAGTTACTACCAAAATCAATTTGTGACTATAATCATGTACAGGAGTTAATGGTTTATTGGTTTGTGAACGATATTTTTTGTATTATGAATGACTAGACCTGGGTCAGAACTGTTCAGAATTATAGATACTGAGTGGTGGCTCACACAACTGTAGTCTTAGCACTGGAAATCTGGAGCAGGAGGATTGTTTATGAGTTTTGGGCCTAGGCTGGGCGATAAATAAGTCCTTTTCTCACATGTAACAAAAAGGATACAAAAATATTTCTTGCTGTTGGGTTGGGAGAGGTGGAAATAGCTATAATGAATAGTGATTCAATGTAGTAGATTTCTGTGCACCTTGTTTTGACCCAATTAAAAAAATACCTTATAAAAATTGGGAAATTTTAAGAAATAACTTTTTTGGATTGAATGTTTCACTCACCCGTGTATCTGTGTCACAGAGGTCAGAGCATTGGATCCTCTGGAACTGAAGTTATGGGTGGTTGTGAGCCTCTGTGGATGCTGAGAAATGAACCTGGTTTCTCTGAGAGAAAGAAAAAGTGTCCTTAACTGCTAAGCCATCTCTCCATCCTGGGAATTTTGTTAATAGCTCTTGTCTTGAATTACTAGATTGATTATTGGCTTAAGAAACATTATACAGTAAGCATACTGCACTCATTAAGATTGAAAAATAGTGCATTTTAAGGCTGAGTGTATTTCTCAGTGTTACAACACTTGCTTAGCATGTATGAAGTTCTGGGTTGCCCTTTCAGCACCACTCATGCATATGTGCTCAAACACACATGCATGTGCATACACAGAGGCGGGCATTTTATAACATTCCAAGAGTCTGCACTGTTTTGTGCAGTGTTGGGAAGGATTTAACTTGGGGTCTACCAAGCACTCTACATTGAACTACCTCTCTAGCCCCAAGCATGCTTTAAATGAGGAAGTTGGTTGGAGATTGGTGTTGAACTTGGAACAGAGAGCAATCTTGGATTCTTGGAGGGGGGGTTGATTCTTGTTTTTTTATTATTATTTTAAGATTTGTGTGTATGCGTATGCACATGCTCAGGACAGATGCTCTCTTTTGGCCTCCAAGTCCCTGGAGTTCGGAGTTAGAGGTGGTTGTGAGCTACACAATATAAGTGCTGGGTCCTCTGAAAGAGCAAAAAATAATCTTCACTGCTAGAGACAGTGATTATAAGTGCATATCTTGGCATTGTCAAAAATGAGCTCTGTTGGAGTATGTTGGTGATTCTGTGCTCGAATTTGGGGCAAGTTATATTTAGTAACGGATTTACTTAGAAATAATGGAAATTTGGTGTGTGCTTAAATATTTCCCTCTGTTCATAGATCTTTATGTTCATTGTTAATATTACAAATAGGAAAATGGGATGGGGGCTAGAAAGGCTGAATTAATTGTACAGGGTTTCAGTATGAAGTGAATAAGGAAAATTTGAAACGTGTCTCTTTGACTTCATATTTGTGGCAGTTGTCCTGTCCTGCCCCTTCCCCCCAACCTCCTTGGTATTCTTATTAAAAATCTTTGACCCTAGTATATGGTTTTATTTCTGGACCTTAAACATTGAATTGTATGTTTTTGCTTATATTTGTAATAAAGTGGGTGTCTTCACTACTAGGTCCACTACAAAATCTTCAGCGTTTGCCTGCTGAAATTTTTATAGTAGTTACTTAAATATTGAAGCCTTTAATTGAAGACTACTGACTGATATGGTTTAGACTAATTGGGGTATTGGATTTTTATTGTAAAAACCTTGGATTTTATGGTTCCCATCCTTATGAATTCTGTCTAGCTAAAGGAAGGATCCTTACAGAAACACTATCAGCTATTTCTGTCTTTTTGAGACCATTAAGTACTACTAAGTGGAGTAAGCAGACTCCATTTAAACAAATGTCATTCCTTTGTACATTTGGTGTATTTAGTAACGGATTATGTATGACATAGGGCTTTTAGATTTTAAGTCATTGGATATTGTGAGATTGGGTTCTTATGGAGTAAATAAATTTGATGATTTTTTATTTGTAGCAGTTACAAGAAAAAGACCAAAAGTGCTAAGACAGATAAAATTGATTCTTTATCTGAAATACTTGAAACTTTTAGATTATTACTTGAAGTGTTCTAGGTTATTTGCACATATGTAATGAGATTGTGGGAACATAGTTCATTTATGTCTCAAACACCTTTATTTACTGCTTGAAGATAATTTCATGTAGTATACTCTGAAAACTTTAGGCTCTTGGATTGGGAACATTCTGGATCTTGTAACATACTGAATTAGGGGTGTATAGATGTCCAAGTGTATTGTATAAAGTTATACTAAAACTACAACATACATGTAACAGTATTCAGTTAAACTTCATATTTCTTTTTCCTCATACAGGGAACCAGGATTACAAAGGAGAAGGGCTTCCTGTGGTGCTCACCTGGGATTACTTTCAACATTCGCCCTGGATGTCCTCTTCACTGTGGGATGAGGTAGTAGGTTGTATAGTTTTAGGGTCACACCCACCACTGGGAGATAACTATACAATCTACTGTCTTTCCTAAGGTGATGGAAAAGTCTGCATTCATGGGGTCTCAGAAGACCAAGAACTAACTGAAGTATTTGAAAGTATAACTTGCCTTAAAGGGCATTTGTTTATGGTGGGCATGTCTTTTAGTGATTAAAAAAAATTACAAGTAGACGATGGGAATGGAACAAGTTTTTACTTACGTGTTTTCTGTTCAGTGTAAATGTGGATTTAATTTTGATTGATGTTGATAATTTAGGGTTTAACCTTTCTTGAAAGAGATTGTTTATTCCAGAAGAAAAAATTGCTCTATCAGAGTGAGGTAGTAGATTGTATAGTTGTGGGGTAGTGATTTTACCCTGTTCAGGAGATAACTATACAATCTATTGCCTTCCCTGAGGAGTAGACTTGCTGCATTGTTTTTATCTAGAGGATATTATAAAACTTAGGTGAATTTTTGACTTTTTGTTGTACAGTTAATTTTCTTAAAGTGTAATAAACATTGTTATAGCATTTTTAGTGTGCATGTTTCAAGAAATTTAGACAAATATCTGAATGGGAAAAGTTCTACATTTCCGTCCAGGGAGAGATGTCTCAGGTAATAGGACATACCAATTAGAAAGGATACTTCTGGACTTAATTCAAATTAGGTTGCTTATCTTATTTCTGTACTTAGAATGCTATAGATATTAATGCAACTTCATTGGTATGTTGGTTTGGACAGACCTTACTGGTCAACAAAAGGAAAGGGGCTCTGGCTTCTGTCTTGGCTCTGCTAAGACCTCAGTTTTGCCCACAGAATAAAGGAACCAAAACTCAGGTGGCAAAGTTCATAATTGGTATCTTTAAAGAAAACATTAGAGGATCACTAGAAAAGGTTATTTAAATGTTATCGCCATCAATGGGCTTGTTTTTCACCCTTTTCTAGCGATCAAACTGTATCTGTTGGGCCTTTTAAGCAATGCCAAAAGGTCCAGGTTTTAAATGTTTACTGTGCAAACTATTTTGGAAAAGTAGAATACGGAAGGCAGGGACAATTATAATATCTAATTATAATTGTAGTGCAATGTCATAGTCAGTATGATCTGTACATGAAACAAAACTGTCCTTAGGACAGGCTCAATCCAAGTGATTTATCCTGAACCAGATTTAAACTTTATTTACTATCTGGCGTAGATAGACAGATACTTTGGAAAATTGATCTTTGTTCCAAATTTGACATATAAAACATGATGTAAGTGGGGGTATTTACACAGCTAATCTAATAATGCCAAAGAAAAGGAGAAATGTTTAAGAACTTCTTAATCTTTCAAGAAATTCTTTTTTGCTTAATCTTTCTTAAGTTGACAATGTGTATAACCTGTTGAATGTGTTGAAAGTAGCTGAGGAATTTTATGGTTTTCTGTTCCTTTTTTCTTCCAGCATGGATATCTACCAGTTCATGGTTTTGAGACAGCTTTACTGAGGCCTGGAGACATCTCTTTATAATTTGGTTATTAATTGCATGAGGACTAACATCCTTATTACTCCAAATAGGTAGAATTTGAAGAACTGGTATATTTTGTGAGACAACTTAAAAATGACTGGAGAGTGATACTCCCTTAAAGTTGGTCTTTGCCAGTGGCAAAAGGCATGACCAGGAATTTGCTTCTGTTTTAATTCAGACAGGGTCAATGGAGATGCTAACCAAAAGTAGGAAGCATGTGGCCTGAATATGGGACAAGCTTTACATTTATTTTTTTCAATTGATAGATCACAAGCAAGATTTATATCTATTGTCAGGTAATTTTCTGGTTAAAAGAGGCCATTTTATGAGACTTGATGTTTTCATTTTGATGATTGTTTTAAATAAAAGTGACTCTAATAATCAGTTGCCCAAGTGTTAGATTATTGGTTTTTTTATCCTCATGCAATTGGATTAATTTTTAATTTTGTAACTGAATTTTTTTAATCAGTATCTTTTTGGCTTTTGCCAAGAACTTTTAAGAGCATCAGTGAAAAGAATTCCAATTGGTTGAATTTCAAACAACTTAAAGGCCCGATTTAACATGTGCTTGAAGCATCTGCCACGTAGAAGACCAGCAAGAATGAAATGGGTTCCTAGGAAGAGGTAGTAGGTTGCATAGTTTTAGGGCAGGGATTTTGCCCACAAGGAGGTAACTATACGACCTGCTGCCTTTCTTAGGGCCTTATTATGCCACCGTACCATTTCCTTTCTACCTTGCTTTGGTGTAAGCAAGAGTTCTTCTGCGGTGCTCTCGTAAGTGGAAACATTGCTGATATCCTGAAGACAAGTGTTTGCATTGATGATTAGTAAACAGCAGCATGTCACCAATGTTTGTAGTCATTTAATGAGAATTTGAGATTTCCATAGCAAACCTTAGTTGTTTGTATATCTTACTTTTGGGTCACTGGGAGATTTTGGAAAGCAGAGTTTTCATATTCAGCTTAATTTTCTTTTTCTTTGACATGGAGAGTGTCAGCTATTCCCATATTATATTTGAAAGAGCACTTAACAAAACCCTTTGAATATTTAGCCTTAATACTGTAAATATATAAAATTTGTGTGTTTCCTGTATAGTGAGGGAGGGAAGTATTGCTTGAGTGGCTAATGATACAGCATGTAACTTGACAATATAAAATGAAAAGAGTTGTTAGGATAATAGACTAACATTTTCAATAAAAATGACATACTTTTAGAACTTGAACTTTTCTTTTTTGTCCTGTGTCTACCTCACCCACTATCATATTATGTAGGTTGGCTTTGAACTTGAGGTCCTTTTATGCCACTTCTCAGATGCTAAGATTGCAAGTGTGCCCCACTACACCTGACATCAAATTGTTTGCTTTAAATATTAGCTTCACTTTTCATTAGTACCATTATTCACAGATGTATTACTAAAGCTAATTCAATCAATATTCAATGTTTTTTATTTTGTAAACATTTGTATAACTTATAACTTTGTATCAGATGTGTATGACTATAAATGTGTTGCTTACACCTTTGAGTTGTCTGAGTTTACCCAAGCAAATACTACCTTGCAAATACTGTTCCCTCTTCATTTCCCCAGTCTGGTTTGAACATTTACCAAACAAGGAAAGGGGCTAAGTCTGGGATCCCAGACTAACTTTACTAATAGTAAATGTGTTCTAATAATACTCGGGAAGGAGATTGACCAATATCTTAGTTTGCTTTCTATTGCTGTAATAGAGAACAACCATGACCATTTTTGAGGGGGAAAGTAGGTTTATTTCAGCTTAAAACTCTCAATATTATTCTACCACTGAGTAAAATTGACAGGAACCTGAAAGTAGAGTCCATGGAAAAATGCTGCTTGCTGGTTTGCTCTTCAGGATTCACTCAGTCTGCTTTCAAATAACCCAGGACCACCTGCCCAGGGGTGCTACCTCCTGAAACGGGCTAGGCTGGACTCTTGAAATTTAATGCTCAGACTTTCTTGGAGACCAATCTGGCGGGAGTCTTTTCTCATTAAGGTTCCCTCTTCCTAGAAACCTTGTATTAAGGTGGCAGAAAACTAGAATAAATGGGAATTCAGGGTATGTATATGCTGGCATCTAGTTATAATAGATGGAGTTGTGAGTGTTTCAGGAGAAACGTGCTATATACTGCTTATGTTTTTTTATTCTAGCTGCTTTGTGACAGATTTATGAGTATAGGATATAGGTTGGTCAATGAAGTTAGCCTAGACATTAAATTTTTAAACTAGAACTAGCATTTGTTTCTCTGTCTTTTGAGACAGTCTCTCTGTTTCTTTGGCTGTATTGGAACTCGTTATGTAGACCAGGCTGGTCTTGAACTCGAGAGATTTGCCTGACTTATACTAGGTTTTTTGGTGAGAAATGCATTACTCTACAAGTTAGGTTTCTTGAGAGGAAATTCAATGTCTCATATGTTTTAGGGGAGTCCTGAAAGTTTGTTTAACCCTGAGGGGATAGTGAAAACACTAACAGGCTTTCAGGAAAAGGCTTTGTGACTTAGCTAAAATTTAGCTAAAAATACACAATAGGTCTCTGGCAGTTTTGGTAGGTCTGTAAGCATGAGCAATGAGAAGAGGCCAATGGCTAAAACACCTGGATCTTGGAATTTGGCATGTAGAGGATCAAGCTCTGTGAGGATCAGATGTCCCTGGTGCTAGCCTTTGTAAATTTGGGTCACTAAGTTGACTTCTGGTGTGCTTTAAAGGAAGATAATCAGGTGTGCTGGCAAATTTGAGAACCAATGCAATCAAAAGTGGATGGGAGCAAGGTGATGGCTGAAATGAGGTAGTCCAGAAACTGCTTGCCGTAGGAACATAAATTTGAACAGTCACACAATAAAACCCCTTTGGAAGAGTTGAGTCAGGTCAGACTGCCTTAGCTGATAATTAGCATCCTAAAACCTCAGCTGGTCTCCCTAGATTTTGCAGTGGGGAGAGACTTGCTTGAAGAAAAGAGTTAGGTCTAGAACTCAAGCTTTAACACTACAGGGTTACAAGTGTCAACTGTGCTATCTACAGAGGCTATCTACACATGACATGTCTAAGGGCCTCCCCTATCTCAGGAAAAAGAACTCAGTGCTTTGTGGTGACGTGGGGTACCTATGTGCTGTGAATCCACAGTATAGTAGAGTCCTGTGTCCAGGCCTGTCCTTTGCAGAACTTCCTGTTCTAACAACTAGATACTGCACTTGTATTTGGGCCTGTGTTAACAGCTATAGCTTGGGTCTGTTATCTGTGACTATGAGAGTCAAATATGCTTAAGTGTGATGTTGTCTTTTGGTATCAAGAGACAGTCTGTACCTGTTCCCAGAGTATGCAACAGGATTGTTCAGGTTTGTGGCTATGTTTTGGGAAATGTGGGGAAACAGCACAGAGTCTGTATAAAAGCCAGCATTAAGTGTGTCCCAGTTTCTTGCCCCAAGTAGTAATATGGTGACCCAAAGACCAGCCAGTTGGATTTGTATTATGACTAGCATCACTGTCTGATTTTGTTATTCTTGGGTTGAGGTTATCACAGGACCAAGGCATTTAGTAAACTTGTTAACATTGGTGTTGGCTTTCATGCTGAGTTGGTGGCCATGGGATTGTTTGATTTCCTTCCCAGTACTCAATTCCTGGCAGCACAAGATGGATTAATAGTTTGGAGGATAACAGGCAAATTGAGTCTGGGGCTAATCCATCCATAGAAGTTCCAGAGAAAGTTGTACTGATCCCTCATCACAGGTGAGTGACTATACTATTGACCTCTCCCAACCTCAGAGAAAGAAAGACTTGGGGTGAGTATTTTTCAGTCATTCAGTTAATTCTGAATGATTCCATAACTGCCTACTGAAACAAAGGAGAGTTAGGTGGCGTCTTGTGGTTTGAGACTATTGAAAACTTGAAGGTACAAGCTAGTGTTGAAGCAGCAGAAGTGACTACAAATCAATATTATGGCCAGACGTTGGTGGTGCACGCCTTTAATCCCAGCACTCGGGAGGCAGGTGATTTCTGTGAGTTAGACCAAGCCTGGTCTACTGGGAGAGTTTCAGGACAGGCTCCAAAACAATACAGAGAAACACTGCCTTGAAAAACAAAAAACAAAAAAAAATTATTTTACATACCTCTCCCTCCTACCTTTTCAACTCCCCATCCCCCCCCCCCCCCATTCACTCCTCAGGGAGGGTAAAACTTGCCATGGGGAATCACCAAAGTCTGTCACATCTGCCCATGTATATAGGCGGGAATGAGCTCCCAAAGCCAATTCATGCACTAGGGATAAATACTGGTTCCACTGCCAGAGGCCCCATAGACTGCCCAAGTCTTCCCAACTGACACTCACATTCAGGGCGCCTGGTTCCGTCCTATGCTGGTTCCCCAGCTGTGTGACTGGGATCCATGAGCTCCCACTTGGTTAGGTCAGCTGTTTCTGGGTGTTTCCCCAGGGGTCTTGACTCATTTACTTGTTACTCCTCCCTGTCTACAACTGAACTCTACTAGGAGTTCAGCTCAGTGATTAGCTGTGGGTCTCTGCTTCTGCTTCTATCAGCTGCTGGATGAAGGCACCATGGTGGCATTTAAGGTAGTTATCAATCTCATTATAGGGGAAGGTCATTTAAGTTATCCTCTCCACTATGGCTTAGATTCTTAGTTGGGATCTTCATGGCTCTCTGAACGTTTCCCTGGTGCAAGTTTTCTCTTTAAACCTCTAATAGCTCCCTCTATTAAGGTATCTCTTGTCTTGCTCTACTCAGTCTTCCTGATCTTTTCTCCCCTCTCCTCTTCCTCTTCTCCTTTCTTCCTCCCCCTTGTGCTCCCAATTTGTTCAGGAGCTCTTGCCCCTTTCCCCTTCTCTCAGGGGACCATGTATGTCTCTCTTAGGGTCCTCCGTGTTTCTTAGCTTCTCTGGGCTTGTGAATTGTAGGCTGGTAATCCTTTGCTCTATGTCTAATATTCATATATGAGTGAGTACATACCATGTTCGTCTTTCTGTGCTTGGATTACCTCACTCAGAATGGTTTCTTCTAGTTCCGTCCATTTGCCTGCTAATTTCAAGATTTCATTTTTTTTTTTGTTGTTTTTCCACTGAGTAGTACTCCATTGTGTAAATGTACCACATTTTCTTTATCCGTTTTTTGGTTGAGGGGCATCTAGGTTGCTTCCAGGTTCCGGCCATTACAAATAATGCTGCTGTGAACATAGTTGAACAAATGTCCTTGTATGAATGTTCATCTTTAGGGTGGATGCCTAAGAGTGGAGTTGTTGGATCTTGAGATAGACTGATATCCATTTTCCTGAGAATCTGCCATATTGATTTCCAAAGTAGCTGTGCAAATTTGCATTCCACCAGCAATGGAGGAGTGTTCCCCTTCTCCACATCTTCAGCATTAAACTGTCATGTTTTAGTCACTCTGACAGGAGTGAAATGGTATCTCAGAGTTGTTTTGATTTGCATTTCCCTGATAAATAAGGATGTTGAGCAGTTTCTTAAGTGTCTTTTGGCTATTTGAAATTCCTCTTTTGAGAATTCTCTATTTAGATCTGTGCCCCATTTTTTAATTGGATTATTTGAAGTTTTTGGTGACTAGCTTGAGTTCTTTGTATATTTTGGAGATCAGCCCTCTGTCATATGTGGGATTGGTGAAGATATTTTCCCATTCTGTGGGCTGCTGTTTTTCTTGTCCCCTTCATGATAAAGGTCTTGGAGAAATCAGGAATAACAGGAACATACCTAAACACAATAAAGGCAATATATAGTAATTCAACAGCCAACGTTAAACTAAGTGGAGAGAAGCTCAATGTGATTACTCTAAAATCAGGAACAAGACAAGGTGGTCCACTATCCATATCTCTTCAATATTGTACTTGAACTTCTAGCTAGAGCAATAACAAAAGGAGATCAAGGGGATATAAATTGGAAAGGAAGAAGTCAAGCTTTCACTAATTGCAGATGATGATGGTTTACATAAGTGACCCCAAAAGTTATACCACGAAACTCCTACAGCTGATAAACACATTCAGTAAAGTCGCAGGATACAAAATTAGCCTCCTTCTTTTGGAAGGATAAGCACGAAAACTGAATGTTAAAATGAGAGTAAGGGGCTAGAGACATCACTTAGTGGTTAAGAAGACTGGCTGTTTTCCCAGAGGTTCTGGGTTCAGTTCCCAGCAACCACAGGTTGGCTCATAGCCATCTATAGTGAGATCTGGTGCCCTCCTGGCATGCAGGT